GATGCTGGGCACAGGTCTGCCCTCAGTTGACTAAAACCTACTGACTTAAACCAAGGTCAGCAATGTTGCTTCCAGGAAAGGCTTCTTAAGCTGTTGATTTGCTGATGACTTTGGGAATTGTTGAACAGAAGAGCAGTATTTTTCTGAAGGTGCATCTATGCTTAGATGGAATATGATATGTTTTATGTTGGCCCTGTCTGCTCAGAAATGCTTTTGACAGTAGATCACAGCAGTGTTCTTGTGCAGTACTAGCAGGTAAATGTCGAGAGGGGATCTTTGAAATGCATGTAACATCAAGAAAGTGTGGAGAATGTGGAAGGAATGCAATTTATTATCTAACTTCTGAATTGTTTTAGGGTTCCAAATCTGGCAGCATTGGTTGTATCTGCTAAATTCCTGGTAAGGAATTGCACAGTGCTCCACAGGAACTGTGAATACTTTGGCAAACAAAAGCCCCAAGGTTGAGCTCTGTATAATGCTTTCTTGGTCTACACTGACAGACTTAAGAGAGAGATGCTGAAAAAGCCAACTGTGAGCATATGGTGTTGCCCCTTGCATACCCTTCCTTCAAAGCACTCAGTGCAGCTTTGCTGTTCAGCTTAGATAGGGAAACATCTTTATTGAACTTCCTACCTAATTTTCTTGCTTAAATCTGTGCTCAATTGATTATTTTTTTAATAATGTAAAAATGGTAATAATGAGTTCTGTACAAGCTTGTGGACATATTCTGTTATTCCTGAGGAAGAAAGCAGAGTGCAAATACCTTCTCATGGGATGCAGCTTTGCAGTAGTTATTTTTCCAGGCAGGATGCATTTAGGTTTCTGCAGGCTGCCAAAGCAGGCTAGTGAAAGGTCAGGATTCAGTTGTTACCACCTTGAGCTGGTTCACCCTGTGAATTGGTGTTGACATCCAGGGTGAAGTCTTTGCACACCTCTCCTGTTGGTGGGAAAATCTCAGAGGGGCTCATCCTTGTCTCTGCCATCAAAATAAGGTGCTGAATTTAAATCAGACAGGAGGCACCCCAAGGGTTTATGTCAACTTCTTGCTCTATGCCAAAAATAAAACAATAGGAACAGCAACAGGCAACTATAGCAGTAAAATACTTGTATTACCTGTTAAGGAAATTGCGGGGGAATTGGCATTTTTACACTCTAATAATTCTTTTTTTTTTTTAATTAGTGTTTTTGTAATGTGAAAATCTACAATAAATGTGATGTAACATCAAGATGAAGTGAAAACATTCCTTGGGCCCTGAGGCAGTCAGTATTTCTCATTTCAGAAGGAAACCAAAGTGAATTTCGAATTACATTTAAGATCAGGAAACACTGTGGGAGAATCACAGGCTGCAGAAGTGAGGTTTAAAAGAATGCAACAAGCACTTTAGCATACTTTAGTGTTAGAAAATAGTAGGAGTTGGGATAGCTACAATAGGCTTCCTTATGCTTTGCACTTGTTTCTCAGCAAATGTGCTTATCTGTAGTTGTTTAATTTGGTGAGACACAGAAATGCAATTTATTTTTTCCCCCCTTCCATATTGAAGTACAGGCTTGTGAACCTACTGTTTGTTTAGCAAAGGGAAACTAGTGGCTTTTCTGTGGATTATTCTTCACATCTCTGACACCGTCATGCTGATTTTTGTCTATCCTGCTTGTGGAAGCTAAAAACTAGGCTTTGCTTCAAATTTCCCATGTGTAGTAGCCAATTACAACACACATGGTCTTAATAAAGGAGTGTCATAAAATATGTTTAGTCTCGAGCTTCATGGGTAGGAGATGGAGAGTCCAAGCTGCAGAAGGCTCCTGGCCAACTGGACAGTCCATGCTCTGATTTTGTCAACTACTGTGTTTTCTATTTATGAACATAAAAAAAGAGAAGATAAAATTTGTCTACATCCTAAGTGCTTTGAGCTTATAGAAAATATTTATTAATTACATGAAGACTTTTGGGAGATGAGTAATTACATCTCTGCATCTTGTAGAATCAGATCTCTTCCTGTTTAAGCAGCTTCATCTTTCAGTCTTGAGAGCACTTTCCAGTGAAACTGTTAAAATTTAGAACTAATGTTTTCATGCTCATGGTTAACATATTAACCTCATGTTAAATGCTTTGCTTCATCTTACCCACTTCTGCTTATGCTCATGTTGTGTTTCATAACACCTCCTGACATTTAAGATAAACTGTAGATACTGAAGATTATTGAATTGTTTCCAATGGGATAAATAGGAACTTTGTCATTGGCTCCTCTGGAAATCAGGAATCAGGACCTGGACAGATGCATGTAATATCTTTCAAGACACAGTAATACCTTTCTGCCTAAACAAAGAGCACTCTGAGCACTTCTAAGTTTGTCCTTTAGCTTTATGTGACACGCCTGCTACTACGTTTTGCTGCTCAGTACATTATAATGATCTTCCCATTCATTTTCTGGAAAGAAAACTAGCAATACTGGATTGATCAAAAGACTCCTAGTCACAGGTGCTAAATTACACCTTGGTTTAAAGGAAAATGCATTAAATCTACAGGAACACCCAATGAATTCATAATGAGCTGACGCTGTCACCATAATAAACAAATGCAAGATAAGAGCTTACAGAGATGACTTTTTTTTTCAGGTTCTGTAGGCACAATAAATACTGCTGTGACTTTAATTTCTGTCCTACTTAAGCTTTGTTTAAATGGCCATCACAGGTTAAAAAACCTGAAGTGTAAGATTTTATCAAGGTCTTTGCTTCCTGAAGTACAACACATAACTCGTGGGTATTACTGGTTACATGTTAGAACTGTCCCACTCTCAAATCAGAACTACCTTTAACCAGGGACAGTATTTTTAAAGGAAATGTATAGCAATGTAAAAAAAAATGGAGCCAATATGATTTTGTACCTGACCTGCTTTTCAACAAAGTCAGAATACGTGTTCATTTTCTGTTCCATCCTGTTCCTGCCATTTACCTTAAGATAACCAAAATTACGCACTTTCTGAAAGCAAGCCTATCCCAAACAGAGCACCTGCTTTTAAGCAGAGAAAACACAACACATCACATCCTATCTGGCCTGTGTTGCCACAGATTGACATGTTTGTCTGTTCCAGCCTGAATCCACCAGATTACTGTAAAGCAGCTTAAACTTGCCTGTTTTGACCCCTAGAAGGCCAGGCACTGCAGGACTAATTCCTGATCCCAATTTCTAGACAGGCTGACAGCACAGGCATTTTCAGTGGTCTGAACAGCAGCACAAAAGAAAAGCAAATAAATGTCCACTGAGTAGTGACCTTGCTAAATTACAGCAGGTACCTTGAGCATCTGCTGTAGGCACCGCTGTGACCCTCACTTCCAATGTGCCATAGGAACACACATTAGCTTTGGAGTATTGATCTAGCAAGGATCAGTGCAAGGGCACTTCAATGAGAAAATGAATTCTTTATCCTGATTATGATTATTAATTCTGTTATGTCAGCAGCCTTTGGCACAGCCAGTGACAGCACCAGATTTCACAGGGGAAAAACCTAATTCAATAGCCAAGAACCTTAAAGAGGGGTTTTGTTTGGCTAAGTAATATTAATAAATACAACAACACAAGCAGCCATATTACATATATGGAGAAGCACATGTATTTTCCTCACTTCTGTATCGGACTTGGTACTGATGTATAAGTGTTTGGTACTTAAAACACCAGCCAAGATTTAAAACCTGACATTGTTGCTGGAATTGACCAGATGGACTCATTGTGGAAGTTTTTGGACCACATGAAGTTGAGCAGAAATTCTCTCACACATGCCAAGTTCACAAATAAATAATCAGTGTTGAACTGGCAGGTGTCCCGCTTCCATCACTTAAAGTTTGGTTATGACAAAGACTAATCATCTCTCAGGTACATCATTTAAAAGAGGCTGTTGCACATGATATTGGATGTTGCAATGTTTGAAGGGGATTTGCTTTCAGACAGTGCATTGACTTGTTTCCTCTCCAGTTCTGAAGGCATGCACTTACCAGTTGTGCCCCTCTCTCCTACACAGTTTCTCCCTCAGCTGCCATAACCAAGTTGTGCTCTCTGGCAGCTTGCTTTTGTCCTGGGTGGGCTCCAGCTCTTGTCTTTCATGCATCTGGTAGGAGATGCATTTAGGAAGAAAGTATCAAGACCAGGTTTTCCAATCCTGTTTTGATACAAAATGTTCATTTGGCAACCTTATCATTAAAAATTATTCTCAGTAGGGTATGCTCTGCTAACACATGACCTTTAGCTTTTTAGAAAGAGTAGAGAAACACCACAAAAGCAAGTAATGGTATAATCAGTTCAGGTATTTGACAGATAACAAAAAGGGCTCTCTTCCATTTAGGCATGGCATTTAGAAAGCCTGAGAAACACTTCAGGTTGGTGGCCCTTGTATCATGATCTGTCTGCTGTAAAACATTCCCCTACAGAGGGAAATTAAATGCCATCACTTAGATCTGTAGATGGGTAATTAACATGTTCACTTTCAAATCAGAACCACTGCAAACACTTCTGTAGGTGTCACCTTCTCAGATCAGAAGTGCTGATTGTTTGCCTTGTACTGGCAGGCTTGCACAGAACAGTATTTGGACCCAGCATTTTGAACCCTCTGTGTTTTCTCACCTTCCCAGTTCACATACAGCGTTGTTTCCTATGTAATTTTTTTTTTTATCATATGCAAGGAAAAGAGATGAAGGCTAGTACAGAAGAAACCAGTCTCCTTTTCATGTAATGGCAAGCTGCCTTACATATTTTTGTGGCAGAGAGGATACCAACATTTTATTTCCATAAAAGTTTTGATTATCTGGGGTAGTCTTACAGTGACTATATATAGCCTCACCAATTAATATCTATTAATAAAAATACTGAAAAGGTGATGTGCAAATACACAAAGAACTACATTGATCTGCCATACTGACATAAACAAGGAAGCAATTTAAGTGTCAATTTACACTTTGTACACAATCTGCTTTCCAGCTATTCAAGGGAGATCAATAATTATGACAGTTCATTAGATGCAGTTGATTTTTATTGTGCAGACCAAAGAAAATGCAGTCACCAGCCCACCACTGCATAATGTATGAAATCAGTTAACAAAATTATTGTAAAAAATAACTTCTTTTCTGATGAGCAAACGGAAGCAACAGCTACAGCTTTCCCACATTCCTGTGTTGATAGGAGAAAATGGTATTGAACCATTATACTCAGTAACTCAAGAACAAAACCATTCTGTTGTTTAGGGGAATAAAAATACCCTGATTTTCTCCCCCAATCCCAAACACATAATCAGTTCATCTACAGAAAAAATGTCCTTTGGAGTTACTGCAGAAGTCCCACACTCTTTGCTCTCTAACTCTGATACCTAAGTACCCAATAGAGCTATCCTACCAGCATGTACACAACTCAGTGAAGCATTGCTTGGCTCCTTCCAAAGCCAGCACTTAATCATCTGATTCCTCATAATGTGCATACCCACTCGCATAGGTCCTTCCTAAATTCAAATGGCTAAATACATCCGTGGCCTCAGAATCTGAATCCTTCCCTCGCTCATCATTGTCATCTTCATCATCATCTTCTGCTTCATACTCATCATATTCATCCTCACGGTCACCTGTATCTCCAGTCTTGCTGGAGGAAAGGTTTTTCCAGTAAGCATCATAACCAGAAGCTCCATCTGCATCTTCTCCTCCAGTCTGTCGGCCAAACTTCAAAGAACGTGCTGCAGCCAAAGAAAAATCATCATACTCCCACCAATCCAACATTTCATTTCTATCTTTTTTTCACTACTTGAAGAGTAGTTTAAATGGCAATTATTTTTCATTATTCCACAACTAAAATCTCAAACTAGACAAAAGCTTTCACTTTCTTGGAATTAATTAATTGTTAAGAATGAGACTGCTCAATTCCAGAACTCAGAAACACAAAGTTTTTCTCAAAACAAATGAAGCAAAACTGTGCAAAACAATTGAATGTAACCAGACTTTACTCAGTGCTCCTAGGTAGACATTAATCACTAATGGCATTTTTATGGCTTGTTAGCTAGAGAAACTGGCTTACTTGACATGCTCAGATCCTTTGTCTGCTGAGTTTCATGGCCACATTTAGGGCAAGGAGGCTTTTTCCCTTTTTCCTGCTTGAAAACCTTACTTCGCACATGATCATCACAAAAACAAGCCTGTGTGTTGAAGGGAGAGTACAAAGGCCAAGTATTTTAATCACAGAAGCACATTCTTCAACAACAAGCAAGCAAAAATGTGTCTAACAGCAGCAGGGTTTTCTGGCTGGGATTAAAATTTAATGAGGTCTCTCTTGCAGTGGACATGGGGTCTGTGCACAGAGGAACCACTCTGTGCTCAACGTGGTTCCAGGGTTTCTGGGGAAGAGGCTGAATAAAAGTGCCAATAAACATGCAGAGAAAGTAACATAATCCAGGGCTGGATTGCAGTGCTGCCCACAAGGAGCCTGGCAAGCTTGGGTTTGTGTTGACAAGCTTAAATAAACATAATGAGATGTATGCCAGAACAAAACTATGCAGGAGCCTGAAGGAAAGAATTAGAGATGGGAAGTTCACACGCTAAGCACCAGGGTGCAGTGAAAATATCTGGAAAAAGGAACTATTTGGAATAGGTCATTGATGCCATGGGAAAGTACATGGAAAACATATGGAAGATAAGAAGAGTAAGAGCAGGCAATGAACCAGCACTTGGAGAAATCTGGGCAATGCTGATGATGAAGCAGGTGGAGCTTTTTATACTTCTGAGTGTGTAAAAACATAAGCCCAATGTCAACAAATCAGCCTGTTCATATGGACAACTGGATTAGCTGTGGAGATTATTCCTTTGGATGCAGCGATTTCTAGTCAGATAATCACCTAACTGTTTAAAATAACAACTTTTCTGATTGTTGCAGTTCCACACTGGTTCAAAGCATTTTCCAAAGCCTTGGATTCTGTTAATGACCAAGGGTTTATTTTGTTGTCTTGGGTTTTTTTTAAAGCCCCAACATGCTGCAGGCCCAACTTAAACTAAGAGGGCTGGGTGAAGATCACCTCACACTGTCTTGTGGTGAACAGGCAAGCACAGAAAAAAGACCTTTTGTCCCCCACAGGTTTGACCCCAGGCTACAGAAACTAATACAAAAGTATGAATTTCCTTTCAATCATGGAAAGGAAGATGTGGCAAAGCCTGATACCAGCCTTGGAGGCCTAGGAGAATCAGCTCCTCACAACTGTCTTTTCTCTTTACCTTGCAACGAAGGCAGGAATGCTGCCCCAGCCTGTTACAGGAGACACCTGTTGGAGAAAAGCAGTATGACAAATTCAGGACTTGGAAACTGCAGACCTGTCATGTTTTTAAAACCTTGTAAAAGTATGCAATACCATAATTGAGGCATTTTTTTTTAATTCCCTGACACAACTGTACTCTGGCAATGTAAATCAATCATTTTACCCCACAGCACCATTTTACTAGGTTTTTTTTAACTCTAAACCTCACTTTGACACAAAAAAAAGAAATTTAAAGAGGAGAAAAGCATTTAACTATTTCTTGAGCTTCTAAACTTTTAAAACCTGAAGTTCCAGAACCTATTTGGGGTTAAGGTCTCATCTTGCTTTTCCTTTTCTCACAGCATTCTGATGAAGGAGTGCTAGAGATGTAAGAACACTTTAAGCCTGCAAACTTCAAAACATAGAAAAGTTGTTACATTCTATATTTTCTGTCATATCCTCTGGAAATGTACTTGACTGCACAAAACTTCATAAAAGAGTCTATCTGTGTTAAAGAACTGGAGCTGACACACAAGCTGTAAAGAGCAGAATCAGTGACCAAAATTTAACTTGTCTTGAGCTTCAAACTGTTTTTATTATTCCACTAGAGGGAGTACAGTAAAGGCAAACCCTGAGGAATTGGTGCAACATGAAGTTTGGTGAATAGTTACTCCTCGAGAAGCAGTAACACGTACATTACCAGTTTCTGTGCAAGTACTCATTCCTTTCCTCCTTGTCTAAACTCTGTGACAGCAGTTTTTCAATCTGAAGTAATAAGTATCATGAGTTCTCCACATGAGCAGGACAGATGTGGGATTTAGAGCTATGGCGTGTTTAAAGATGGAACTGGAAATGCTGATACTGAATTCATCATTTTTTGAGTACCTGCACTTCAAAAACCTCTCTCAGATAGTGATGGAAAGCAACAGCACCTTTTTCACAGCTAAAATGGATTTATACTACAATTGCATGACCACATTTGAAGTTCAGGTCTTCTTTAAAAGTACAGGTTTTATAATCTTGTTACCTCACTGACAAAAATCTTGTCTCTATCAAGTCTGCTCTGTGCCACAAAACACAGTGAAAACCCTCAAAAAAACTCTCTCTCTATTTAGGATGTGATGCCACATCTGTGAATTGAGAGCTTCCAACAATCATTGAAGAAACACTCTTATGGAACAGCTGTTGCTGCCTCAATATTGCTATGCAGGAAGAAAATGTATTCCGTCAAAATATATCAAGGGAATTCTGGCAGAATACATCAAGAGAAGCTATGCAAGACTTAAAAAATAGCTGTCTAGGAACAAAAGCATGGAAAGTCAAAAGAAGATACGAGATGTCTAAAGATATTGATTAAAATATTAACATCGCAAATATTCTGGACCAGGAGAAATCAATTAGGACAAGAGATTAGTCAGTTCAAAGGAAAACAGCCTTATGATAAAGACCACCTGCAATTTCTACAATAAGAACTGAAAATGCTGCAATAGTCAAGATACATGCATGTAAATTTTGGGAAGGACAAACAAATGCTTGTATTGTGACAAATCAAATAATTTTTAATGGATAGGCAAGAAATGCTGCTAGAAAAATTTTGTTATTTCAAATATGCATAGTTTTGGCTTGTTTTGTTTTATTGTTCTTTTTTTTTTAATTTCCCTTGAAGATACCCTGTTTCAGCCAGAGATGATTAATGAGTGAGCAATGTCACGCACGGCCATCATGTCTCCTTACAAACAGCAGTTTTATCCACACAATTAATCAAAGTTCAAAAGGACATAAAGTGTTCTTTACCCAGAAAGAGTGAACATGTATCAGCATTTGATACACTACCAACAGACATGTCCACAGTCCACTGGTCAGTGAGGAAATGAACACTGAAATCGTGCTCTGGGACTATTTTTGTCACTTCCTTCTGTGCTCACCCTGTCTCACTGAATCAGATGACAACTGCTGAGTCACAGCCTTCCTCGGGACTTGAGCAGCTGCTAACCTTTCACCAGCACACAGGCCTTCCACAGCAACCTGGGAAGGTTTAGCCAGACTTAGACAGGTAGCATTGTTTAGGGCAGCTCTCTTCCAGGAGGAACAGGTATCTAGAACTAGTTCATCACTGGGTCAGAAGAGTGGAAAACAAAAAGCTCCTTCTGCCTGCAGAGCTTGGTGGAGTGAAAAAGCAGCATCAGCAGCTCCAGTTGTTTTGTTGCAGTCCTGCTACTGCCAACAGTGCAACTTTGGAGAATGCTGGCTCCTGCAAGGGCAGCTTCACATGGGAGGCCTGTAAGAGCCTGGCAGGAAAACAACTGCCAGATATGCTCTGGAATGGAAAAAGGGCCATGAAAAAGAAAAAAGTACTAGTCTGGATAACTGGATACCAAAAGCCAGTGTACAGGAAACAGGCCCTTCCCTCCAGGGGTGGCAAAATCTGCTTGGGAAAGGTGATGGGAGAGTATTCTGGAGCACAAAGGAAACAAGTAGAGCGTCTGCTCGGCTGTGGCGAAAGGAATTATGAATAACTAACTTACATTTAAATGTCTCTGCTTCCAGAACCTGGCAGCTGGCTTGATGTTCAAACTGATCATCTTCACAGAGGAAATCATGGCAAAAAGAGCAGGCGAATATTCTGCCTCCTGAAAGATTTATCAAGGCAAAATAATCAACAATGGGCAGAAGCATCAAGTCCTGCTCTGCAAACAGTTTAGGCAGTAGTTTTGACTTGAAGACCAGTTCTACATTCTGTGACAAATGCTTCAAGGTCGTAAATTAGATACTGGCATCCATTTTTACACTGAAAAATACCTTCTATGCTACAATATAAGACAGCATAACTATAAAGCAAGTATTATTTCTAGTACTTTTCTTCATTTTAATTTGACTGTAGCACTAATTGTTTTTCTCAAATCAGATCACACTCTCATCCAGTCTTCTCCACTCAGCTCTGATACACACTTGAAATAAACATTTTAAAAGATTCAACAAAAGGACATCAGCATGGTTTCCTAAGCAACTGGGAATCCAAATACCTGTGCTAGTGCAGAAGAATGGAATAAGAATGGCAGAAAACTGTTGGCAATTTGATGCAGTGCTTAATTATGTGAATAATTAAGCTGATAGAAACATTATAATTTAGATTACATAATCATCCCTGAATTGAGCACTGTATGTTCTTGAGCAGGTCATTTACTTTCCTCACGTAAAATGACTATTTTTTAAACGGGGAGAATCTTGGCTTTGAACAAACATACTGCAGGGACTAATGTAGTGAAGACTAAAAAGGCTATGTTAAGAATATAGGTACACTCACTTAAGAAATGCAAGGAAAGAAGTGTAATTTATATGTACTTATTTTTAAATGTGAGCAACCTACCATGGTCCCAGACACTTCTTTCACACTCAACGCATTCTGCGTCTGCCAGAGGGCACATACACGCGTGGGTGCTGAGACACTTCCTCCCGTGGCACACCCAGGCTTCACAGAAATCACAGATTGCACCCTGCAATCACAGCAAGATATCATCTCAGGACTTCTACAATACCAAGAGAGACTTATCCCATAATCCTCAATCTATCCTAGTATCCATTCTCTCAATGGGCTTGCTTTAGCTGAGTGAAGAGTATTGAATCAAACCTGTGTTCCAACCAAGCTGCTCCACAGTTCATGTTTGTTTGTTATTTCATTTCTGCAAAATAATTTTGTTACCTATCTCAGTCCTGGTTTTTACATTTCTTATCACACACTTTGCACATGGAAAATCGTGTCTTCCAGGTGAAACCTGGGATCCATAAATGATAACAATGTTCTGGCAAAAATGAAATTTCAAAGACCTGAAAAATGCCTCTAGACTCTTAGAGCTGAAATCACTCACTTGGATTTTCAACTCTACTAGATTAGAGCACTACATTTATTTTGATTAAATTATAAGATCTCTGCTTCAGCTATCCTTAACTGTAGCATTTAAGAAGCCCTCTTAGCCCATAGGTAACTAATTACTATGTGCATTACATGCACACAAAGCTAAGAAAACAACGAGGAATCCAAATTTAAGTGTTGATGTTTTCAGTCCTGCATCAGTGAGTGCATGGGGTAAGTTCAGGAACACCAGCATGCAAAGGCTGGCTGTGTTACTGAGAACAGCTGATGGCCAGCTGCAGGCAGCAACAGGATAGAGGTTTAGACCATTTAATCCAGAGGCTGTGACAGGTCACACCTTGCTTTCCAGAATGCAGACACTGGAAAAGAACAAAACTTCAAAGACATGAAGCTATGATTATCTCTAATTAAGAGCCCAAAAGAGGGGTTTTGTTCCTTAAAATTCCCCTCTAGTGGAACAGATTCCTCTCTGTGTTACTGATGTCTCTGCAGTACTAAGACAACAGCGACAAAACTCTGCAGGTTTCTGCAGAATAATCCTACATTTTAATGAAGGCTGGGAATTTTCTGTGGTGCACGTGGGTCCAGTGCTCTTCATGCATGTGCTTAGGGCCTGCCATCAACACAGATCCATTAGCATCCAGGACATGTGCTGGAGTTTGCAGGAGCTGAATCTAAAACTTAAAAATTTGGGTGTTTCAGTATAAGGGAAAAATCAGTTTGTTACAGAAAAGCAAGGGAAAAACCAAACTTGGTATGGTGCATGCCATTGTTCCATAAATCTGTTTTATCATTTTTCCAGGAAGATTTGCACAGAATATCCTCATAGTGCAAAGAAGGCTGCAATTTTGTATACATACCACCATAGCTAGTCCAGTACTGTACACACCAGCATGTTTTATAACACAGTCAGAAGACTTCATCATGCATTTGGTTTTTCCTGTTTAAAATAAAAAGGCAACCATAAGAAAACTACGTAAAAATAAAATTTTTAAAAAGTGGCATGCATGTTTATGTAAGAACAGCACTTCAACTAAATGCTTGTGCTTAACCATAAATCTAGGTAAAAATAATGCAAGCAAAGATGTTTGCATTATTGCTGCATTCTGCAACCCACCTTCACACCTTCATTAGGTTAAATTAATTATTATCTGTTTTCAGTCCAATCTCTTGTCCCTGTACTGAGATAATAAGACAATATACTGGTCTTGCTCTGTGTTTTGAGGCACTGGCAAAAATTTCAAATGTCAAAACTAAAGTTAAAGACCAGCAATGAAACCTTAAAGAGTTAAGTTTAAAACCACTGCTAGTTCTGTCCCACCATAAAAGCAGCTGAGCTGGGCAGTGAGAGGTGGTGGGGGCATTACTGGCTGTGGAGCACTGCAACAGAGCTACCTTGCTCCCATCCCTCACAGGCTCCTCTAACAAAGATGCTGCTGGTTTATAGTCCCCAATGCTTGATTAAGCATCAAACAGCTCTAATGGTCTTCATTTGGAAAACCCGGGGTCTCAATATAGTATTATGGTTGCTGATAGCAATGTTTTTCCTCTAAAAACATACTCCAGATTAAGATAAATGCAACACACAGATATGAACCATAAGACAGAGCACGTTTTTAGTACTTCACTGCATGGTGACAGAAAGGAGACAGAAAGGGTGACAACACTGCCTCACACTGTGAGCAGTTTTGTCACCAGGAATCCTTCTCTTCTAATTTCAAAGCATCAGCCCTCAAGCCCACATAAATAAAAAGAGATGCATATTACATTACAACCCCATGCAAGGTGAATAATATATTGATGCTTTAATTAATATTGAATTGATCAGAAATTATATAATTCCTAGAAAAGCAGTATTTATTGGTGCCTTGCTAGCAGTCAGAGCTTTTTAGTTTTGCTGCTGTTATAAACAATGCTCCATGTGGTCAATCTACAGAAACAGTCAGATTTTTCAAACCTAAAAGGAAGTGAGACAAATTTTTCCAAAGAAGACAAGCCATGATCCAGGCTTGCAAACCTCTAGGGGTTAGAGGCATATATACTGATCAAGGAAGATCAATTCTCAAGGAGGATATTCACAGCAGATTCAAAAGAACCTGCTCCACATCACAGAGGTACTTTAAGATAAAACTACTGTAACACAGATACTGAGAGTTTAACATCACAAACAGGACTGAGGACAGCTTGTTTTTGTTCACTATTTCTACTCACCACATTGTGCACAAATGGGCAATTTCTGAACAGAATTACAGAAGTAACAAAAAGCTCTATTCTTCTGTCGTCTAGGCACATGGAGGTGAAAAAAAAAAGAAAGTATTAAGCTTTAAAATAAAGCATTAAAAATACCTGTAAAATGTCTGAAACAATAAACTTGGTTTTAGAAGGGTAAAAATTCTTACCTTTGGCACTTATCACATTCCTATAGAGAAGAAATAAAACACATGTTAATTATTTTCATTCTAGGTAAAATATATAAAATGTACAGACCACCACAGGGAGTTACAGTTAGCATCCAAACCTTTTAATCAATATTCTGTCTGGTGCAAACGTAACCTTAAATAGGATAGTAGGAAGAATGTCATTCTAGTGGTATTAAATGCATTCAAGGTGTTATCACTAGGTTTACATAATTAAAAATTAGGTACTTTAATAGAGAATACTTTAGGTTGATTTACCATTGAAGCATTACAAGGATGTTTGGCCAAGTCTATGTTGGCTCGTGAAGCCCTTATCTGCTTCTCACGTTCCCGACGGTTCTCGGCTTTCTTACGAGCACCAGTCTTTTTTTTAGGCATGTTTACTCTCTGTGGGGGGAAAAACAGGTATGGAATCAATGCACATAAAACTATGTAAGTAAATGCATGACACACATGGCACATCCAGCATTAAACCTGGATTTTACAGTTCCTGCATTAACTGTGCTTCATCTCCATTCACTTCCTTGTCTGAAAGTTTCTTCTGAAATGCAGAATAAGGGGACAATCCACAAGGAAGAGCCATGTGATGAACCATAGAGAAACTTGTGATCTGGAAAACTTTGCTCTCCTGAACTTTGTGTTTAACTCTCTTTGAAGGGTTTTGCCTTAAAAAAATGAAACCATTACTATCTGTAGGTTTATTTGTGATGGACCTCTGGTCTTGGTTTGCCTTGCCTGTTTAATAAGCATCTGTAAAGACAGTTGCAGCATCAACAGGCAGTCAATTCTAGCAGCTTCAACTTGGAAGAAAAATTAGTATCTTCATTCAAAATGTCTTATAAACAAAAAACTCCTAACTTTCCTGAACACAGAAATATATTGTCCTGACCAGATACTAAAATGTGCTTTTGATAGCACACATAAATCAGTTTTCTTGTGCTGCTGCACTTTGCACCATGTTTAAATTGCATTAGTGTCATATTTTGTAGTCAAAATTATATTGCTGTGCTGCCTGCTGGCAATTGTCATTATTCTAGAGTGTGACATTTCTGACACTGGGAGTCCAATATCAGGCTCCACACTAATTTTCACACCACTCAAATGCTGATTTAACAACAGAATCTAATGGTTAGTATTTATACCTTGACTTCTTCACTTTCCCTCATAATGGAAAGCACCAAAATGACAAACTGTTTTCATGAAAAGCACTGCCCCAGCGCCTCCTGAGGACACAGGCTATGGGAAATTTTAGATGACAGTTTTCCAAAAGTTGCACTGAACTAAGTAACAACAGAAATGCAATGTCAGGTCCCTTCAGCAAAGCTGTTGAGTGAATCCATGCTTTCAAACACCATCCAATAATAACAATATCCTGTACATCAATATTCTTATCACTCTTTCCTGCTGAGCTTTCATTTAGGTTGTTTGTTGTCTTTGTCCTGGGCTCAAATTTTTAAAGAAATTTACCATCTTTGTAATTTTTGAACTAGAGCTTAACAACGTTGATTCCAGAAATTATGACAGCATAAACCCTGTCTACCTTCAATTCCTTTTAAAGCAGAATATCACCTCCTTTGAAACTACTAATTAGTACTCAAATGCCTCTGGAGAGTGTTCTACCTGCACTTTTGGCACACTGTTACCAGATGTTCAGGCAGAAAAGACCCAGTGGATTCTGTCTGCAGTCCACACCCCTGAGGGGTGTGTGGGAAAGAAAAGCGCATCTAAAGGACCGAAAATAAGAATTGTAGGTCCATGCCTGGCTCCCCCCTCAGCCCCAGAGGGTACGAGTGTGCTGCCCTACAGAGCACTGGAGCTCCTGCATGGGAGCATTCTGCACAAAGGCTGTTTCTCCATTTGAAGCTTCCTCCTCAGGAGTGAGGTGCTGTGCCTCAGTCACAGCAGCAGCTGTGGGAGTGCCTGTGGCTCCCCAGCTCAATGGCAGATGCTGTGGCACAAGGAGCAGAGCTCAGATGTCAGGAGGCTATGCAGGAGTGAGGTGAACAGTTCAAAGGAAAACCCCTAAAATCTGCTATGTGAATATTGGTTCCCCAGCACTGTGTTCCACTCTGTAAATTTTCACCTCCTGTTACTCTCCTGCTGTGTCATTTGCCAAGGCAACCAGGGGCAAAGACTACAGATTTCCCTCCAGATTTACACATCCAAAGAATCCTGGTGTATTTCAGCTGGTGGTTGTGATGTGAGGTGCATTAGCAATGCCTGGCATCTAAGTTCTGCTGAAGTCACAGCTTCTTGTCCTCGGTGAGGTTGCAGAGACACACCCTGACTCCACCAGCAGGTTCTGGATCTTTTATGCTGAGCAGGACAGTGCCTTGCCCCATTATCTGGTGACACACTGCCCACCCTGCTGTGACAGACATGGTGAACAGCTGGAACAGGCTATTCCTTGTGTGCTACCCTTGTCAGGCCACAGATCCCAACACCCAGAAGAGGCTTTCTGTGGTTCGAGGTTTCTTGTGCTTGACCATCAAACAGCTTTCACTCCATACATATCCAAAATCTGTTTCATCACTCATACAAAACTACAATTAAAAATAAAAATTAAACTATATTAATAGTAGTTCATACTTAAAAGGATCATGAACTGAACACCCTAATAATGCAAAAACCATTCTCCAAGCACTGTGATGCCCATGACTTACTCCACCTTTTAAAAGCAAGGTGGCTAAAAACTGCGCTGAGGGCTGCTGTGCTGTAAGCGCCCAGGCGTGCGGGGCTCTCCCCAGCTCCCCTCGGGCCGACTGCCTCCCCAGGGCCGGGAGCCGGCCCGATCCGCTCCAGGCTGCGGGTGAGGCGCGCACAGCTCCCGGCGTGTGCACCTTCCCTCATCCTCAGCACCCGAGCCTGCCAGCCTGGATGGCCGCGCTCCCGGCACTCGGCTGCGGGGGAGCCGCACACCGCACCGCTGGCTCGGGCATGGAAGCCGCGAGGGCCCGGCACCGAGACCCTCAGCGCCTCTAGCCTGGCCCCGCTGAGGCACCACTGCCCCTTCAGCGTCCCGGGCCCTCCCGCCAGCCCATTCCAGTTCCCGTTCCCATTCCCGCCCCGCTCCAACCTGGCCGGGGCTCCGCGCGGAAGCCGGAAGCGGCGGTGCGCCGCGGAGCGCTGCCCGCCCGGCCCGCGCCGCCCGGCGGGAACGTTCTGAGCGCGATTGCGCCCCTCGCCCCTCACGGGCCTCCGCGTCCCCTGGCGTGGGTGCTGCGCCCAGCGCACGGCCCGGCCTCAACAAAAAAGCGTGTTTGCTTTCGAGGCAACTGCGCCTCTGCTCCCACTTGTCAAGAAACTGAATTTGGACGTAGCAATCACAGCGATTAGTTGTGGTTGTAGTGGATACCTGAAAAGTTACCTCTGAAATCTTTCATCTGTGACTTGAGCTGTTTTTAAAATGAAGTATTGATTAACCTAAATGGTAGGAATGCAATGTAGCTTAAAAAGAGAAATTATACCCATGCTATTAAAAATAAAACCACTGCACACAGCTCTGTCTCCTCTGAGGTTATGCAAGTCACTGTCACGAATGGATATTGCCTGAAAAACCCTTTGTGAAAATCATTAGAAGGCGTATTGCATAGATATTTAGTGGAAGATGAGTGCACGGATGGCATTCCATTGTATTTCATGGTTTTTCACCTAGAAAGGGTTTGGTACATATTTCATATAAGTAAGTAAGATCCAGGGCATTGCTTCGTATGCTTTGATCATCAGTTCGCTGCAGTGAGGTGGTTGTGTTGCTTCACATTGTGCTTGGTCATGTAATGCTTCCTGAAAATTGGCTTCTGGTCATGGAATGTGATTTTCACACAGGTTTTCATGGGCCATCACTGCCTTTCTAGGAAGACCCTCCTAACTTTTGTGAGGCAGTTGTTGATTCTCCCACAACAATTTGTTTACTTGTCACTCTTTTCCTTCAAGATGTGATCTTCACAGCAGGGTCAGTGGGATGCACAGAAAACAGCATTATTGTTTAATAAGTAACAAAAAAAAAATTCCTGGTGGTCACTAAACTGGATGCTTCTTCTTCATGAGAAGGTGTGTGGAAAAATAATTTTTCAGTATTGTCAGTCACACTGTTTAAGTAAAAACCTAAGTAGAAAATACCATATTTTCTGAGATGTTAGAGGAGTTTTTGTGTAAGTCTCACTTTTCTTAATGAATGTCATTAATCACCAATATTCTTGTATTCTGCTTGTGACCACTGTAGTCTGTTTTAGGCAACCATGAATGCAAGAACACAATTAGGATAAATGTTATAGCATTGGAAAAGAATACAAACGTGGCAGCAGCTCTCTGGCCACAGAGAGCAATGCACAACTTTCCCAGGCATTGTCCTGGGGAAGGTTGTGAGAAGATGGAGAAAAGAATGATAAACAATTCTTATCTTCACTTGCTGCACCTGTTGTTGTGCACATGTGGAATGTGTTATGGAGATTTGTTTACCAAAGGATGATTTCTTAATTGGCCAATGGTGATGGGTTTGGATTCAAGGACCAGTTGGGTCCATCTGTATTGTGACTTTCTGTAAGGGCGATGGGTTTCCTGATATGTATGGAATAATAAAGTGATTGATCAGCCTTCTGAGAATCACAGAGTCAATGCTAATTATTACTCCTTTGTGGGCACCTGGTTACAACACAAACAGAAAGTTTTAATCTATTTTATAATCATTATCCTAGTCAGCTACTCTGCTTTCATGAATGAATGGAACTGTTGAAAAAAGGACTGTTACATATGCACAGATGTGACTGGGCATTTTTACATAAACTCATGAATGAAAAAGAAGGAGAACTCCAGAAAAAGTCCCAAGGAGATATGTAGATGCTAAGATTTTTATCTTGGTTTTATTTTACCCCGTGAAACATTATCTGCCTCAAATATGTTTCAGCAACCACCCTCTAGATGGCAGGAGTTCGTCACTTCACTCATGAGCAGTAAAACATTTTCAGAACCAACAGAGTGGCCTAGGGCTGTAATACCAATGAATTTAAAAAAATAATAGATGAGAATAGCCAATTTAGGGCTTACAGAACTTCCATTAGCAGTACTGGACTAGTCTCTGGGGAGTTGTTACAGACTTGTTTCAAGGAAAATGTAGAAAGTAATGAGAGTCAGCCTCATTTATAAGGTGTTTTCAGTTACTTTGTGCGAGAAGCAGTGGAAGGGCAGTGAGTGTGTCTCTGAACAGTTATCATTCCATATTACCTGACAGAGGATCAGAACTGTCACGTCTTCACTTAATGCTTACTGTCTGGCTGGCCAAGATAAGAGGTGAGGGCCACCCTACACTGCCTGGAAAAGGCATTTGTCTAGTCAAGAGCTGTCAAGACAGCACATTGGTGATTGCCTTAACCCTGAGCTGATCTACCTGCGCTGAGGTCACTAGAGAGAAAAGTGAAAGTCACTTCTGTAAGCTAAATGATGCAATGAGAGCAGAGCCGCTGGTCTTCCCACGCTGAAGGCATAACCCTGCAGCAGCATGCACTGGTTTCCTCTTCTGTTCCACTCCACCGTGTCATCATGCATCTCACAAAGTTAGTTTTGCCTATACAAAGGGCTAGAGGATGCTAATGAATCAGAATCTCTCAAAACTAAATGGATCTCCTGGATACAGAACGAAGAAATTTTGAGCAATCTCTTTCCACCTCGCTCTCTTTTTTGTTCACCTCTCAGAGTTATGTGGCAAGGCAGAGCAGTGGCACTCTGGATTACATAGTGATTGCTGGTCAGATACATATTTTTAAGGCAGTAAATTCACATTTCAAATGGGAAGAATTCAGTAAAAGGGTGTTGCAAACAGTTGTCTGAGGGAAGGTGGGCTTGCTTTCTCCAGAGTCAAAGCTGAGTAGTGCCATTGCAGCACTGCGTACCAGCTCACGTGGACACTGAACATATTCAGGGTTGTTCTGCTCACTTCTTCCTCTGCTCATCTCATAAAAATTCTTCCTTTGCTGTGAGAGCACGTTTCAGGAATGGACATTTACTTATTCCTTACATTACTCATGCAATAATAAAGGATTCATGCCTTCTCACTTCTACTGCTGAAAATTATAGAGATCAGAAAGGAAAATCAGGAAATTAGGTGTGTGCACAGCCTCTATCAGAATGGCAATATTCTGGGACAGATAAGACCTTCATATGCAGTGACACTGGACTATACTGGATGACAATGAAATATTTTTACTGCCTTTTGCTGTGATATCTCAGTCCCTTTAAAAATACAAGAAAGCATATCTCTCTACTTGAAATAAATACTGACCTGAGTTGTTGTCATTTACTTCTAATTGAATTAATTTAAATTTCTTTTTTCTCTAAATAATATGCTTGTTCCAATCTATTTAAACCTCTATTGCCTACTTGCCTATTACCATAATTATCTGAATTATTGCAATGTCTACTTGCAGCATTCAAGATGTTTGGCTTCCTGGGGATTGCATTGTAAAATAGGTGCAGCATACACCTTTCTAAATGACCTTTGAAATGGCATACATCAAATTTAATTTGTTTTTAAATCCTGGCCTTGCAGCAATAGACCTTAAAAGTCATGTCAATATTTTTGTAAGATAATTTTGTCTGAAGACATTTGTACTTGTTGACTTACCTACATAAAGAAATGGGAAACAAAGAAAATAACTTGAGGCAAAAATCTTTAGTGACATCTACTGAATGGGCATGTTCGAATATAATATTTTAAAATGGGCATCCCAGAATTAGATGATGTAGAGATTTTTTGTGTATGTTTTCTTTTCCCCCTGCTATTATACCTGATGCTTGCAGTCATTAATCTTAGCCCTGAAAAGTCATTCCCCCAGAAATTTCTAGATGATTATTTTGTCTGGTCAATGTTTGTGGTATGTATCAAAAGGGAAAAGAAGAAAGATAAGAGATAAAACAAAAAGAGAAATTTTGCTGTTAAGTGGTCAGAGTCTTGATTCAGGGAGCTCACTCAGTTGTCAGCTTCTTTATTAAGATCTATTAGTCTTTCCTATGATATTCAAGTTGCATTTTTTCACATTTCTTCCATGACTTCAACAAAATACTGAACAGCATTTTTACCATGGTGTCTTACTGGGGCTTTTTATTTTGTTTTTCAGATGAAAGATATACAGTAAAGCTAATACTGGGATTTATGTGCACAATTAATATGCCATCATATGTTAATTACCGTATATTAATTAAGATTCTGAGGTGAGGGGATAGTGCAAGACTAATCAGTTACTCATTTTGTAACATAAGGGGGAAGCTATAATTTTTTGTTATGGAGACATAACTTGTCTGCTGGCAAGTTATTAGTATTGTTTTTCCATTATGAGATTGCAATATCATAAATTACCTTGTTTCTCTTCTCTCTGATCCCATCAAAAGGCTGACACATAGTGATATATTTGCTGCATAGGTGACACTGGGAGGCTTTGTTTGGGAAGAGGAGGGAGATGTCTGATAAATGGCAGCACCTGTGTGACAGAAATGAAAAAGGTGAAAAAAAATCAAGGTCAGACAGAGGATGACTGATGGCAAGAATTTTTCTCTCAGTGCTGGAGGCTTGTCAGGTGGATGTGGCAGAGGAGAATGAAAAATGTGAATGTTTTAATTGGTCACGGAATATGAGAGTAATTCACATAAGTGATCAGGAGATGCCAAGGTGATCAGGAAATGGAGAAGCCAGTCCCATAGGAGGAGGCCAAAAGAACGTGCTGTATCTGGCAAAATGAAAGGTTGGAATGGGACAGTGGAGTTTCTATCCCTACTGTGTCTGTGCTGAGTTAGAGGGGTGAGCAAAATGCCTGTTCTGGCACAAGAGCAAACGGGTAAGAAACTTTACAACCTGGGGCCACATGGGGAGAGAGAGAGAGAGAGAGAGGTAGAGAACAACAGTGGGAAAGTGCCAAAGTTCAGGGGACATTGTTTTGTGATGTATGAAGAGAGCTGACACAGTTTAATCTGGAGAAGGGAAGGCTGAGGAGGTCTAATTGCTGTCTTTGAGGACCTAAAGGAAATTTATAGAGAAGACAGAGCTAGGCTCTTCTCAAGGGTAC